AAAACCACAATGAGATACCACTTCACACCTGTCGGAATGGCTACCATCGATAAATCCACAAACAACAAGTGCTGGAGAGGATGTGGAGAAAAGGGAACCCCAGTGCACTGCTGGTGGGAATGCGGACTGGTGCAGCCACTGTGGAAAACAGTACGGAATTTCCTCAGAAAACTAAAAATGGAACTGCCTTTTGACCTGTCAATTCCACTGCTGGGAATATACCCTAAGAATCCCAAATCACCAACTCGAAAGAACCTATGCACCCTATGTTCATGGCAGCACTGTTTACAATAGCCAAGTGCTGGAAACAGCCCAAGCGCCCATCAGTAAATGAGTGAATAAAAAAACTGGTACCTTTACACAATGGAATACTAAGCAGCAGAAAGAAAGAACTATCTTTTGCAACAGCATGGATGGAACTGGAGAGCATTATGCTAAGTGAAGTATGCCAGGCAGTGAAAGACAAATACTACATGATCTCACCTATAAGAGGAATCTAATGAACAAAATAAACTCATGAGCAAAATAGAACCAGAGGCATGGACACATGGAACAGACTGACAGCAACCAGAGGGGAGGGGGGAGGGGAATAATGGTGGAAAGAAGGGGAAGGGACTAGTCAAAGAACATGTATGAGTGACCCATGGACATGGACAATAGTGTAGGGATTGATGGTGGGAGAGGAAGAGTGGGCTGGGCGGAGGAGGGCAAAGGGGGGGAAATTGCAGCAATTGTAATAGAATAACAATAAAAAATAAAACTAAAGGTATCTTAGGCAAAAAAAGAGTCATGTCTCGGAGATAAGATGAGCATTTTGTGATGAGAAGGACCAGAGGTACACACAGCATGAACAGGAGAAAGGGAATAAAAAATGGGTGACCGTCCCGGATGCTGTATTCCAATACTCACCTGGTTTACAAAAACAAAGTTTTGTGCCTCCCATACAAGTATATGAGCTGCAGTCCTATTCAGGCAAACATGCGTTCCGTTATCTCATGTGATACGCACTTCCAAGGAATTCACGCTGAAGGACATGTCTAAATCGTGTGTGATTAACATGTTGGCTTTTTAGGGGAGCTTTTGGGGGTCACAGAAAGAATGTAGTCATTGTTCTAGAAACCAATATACCATGTGTTAATTTCTTTAAAAAATAGCAGATCCATTTTATCTGGGATTCCTCAGATGCTATCTACTCAAAATGACCATCGAGAGCTGCTGTCAGCTGAAACGGCTGTGAGTGCTTGGGGTTTGATGACAAGCAGCATGAATATACCCATATTTAGGATGCAATAAGGGTTCATTAGTGACATCAGGACTATGGCATGAGCAATGCAACCATTAGTCAAAATTCTACTTAATTGGCCCAAAGATAAACGAGAGGGGTCATCAGTACCCGGCCAGGGTATATAAAGGACCCCAACACAAGGAACACATTCACACCTGAGAACACCCAGCTCCTCTCACCAGTCCCGCCCAGCCCACAACCAGACGCCACCATGACCGGATCCTGCTGCGGCTCCACCTGCTCCTCAATCTGTGGGGGAGGCTGCTGCCAGCCCTGCTGCCAGCCCTGCTGCTGCCGGGACCCCTGCTGCTGCCGCCCCTGCAGCTGCCAGACCACAGTGTGCCGCCCTGTGACCTGTGTGCCCCGCTGTACACGCCCCATCTGTGAGCCCTGCCGCCGCCCCATCTGCTGTGACCCCTGTGGCCTGCAGGAGGGCTGCTGCCGCCCATCGCCTGCTGCCCCACGTCCTGCACAGCCGTGGTCTGCCGCCCCTGCTGCTGGGCCTCCACCTGCTGCCAGCCCATCTGTGTGCAGGCGCCCTGCTGCCGGCCCCCCTGCTGCCAGCCTGCCCCCTGCCGCAGCACCTGCAGGACCTACCCCTGCTGCTGCTGCTGAGCAGTGACTCAACTGCCTAGAACGAGCAATCAACCTTCTGAAAAAGTGATACTCCAATTTCTTTGCCCAACAGACTTTCCCTGAGCCAGAAGACCTCTCAAGTCAGCCGGGGGTTGCATGGAAATCCACACTCATCTATTAAGACTTGGGCTGTTCTCAAGTCTGTGTAAGAGTAGCAACTTCTTTCTTTCCATCTTATATCTTAGGTCTTTGTGGCATGTTTGTTTTCTAATAAACTCATCTTTGGCCTAGCAAACACAGCTTTGGTTTTACTTGTTCATTCTATTTTTTCTCATTAAATTTTAACATAACAAAAATGTGCTGATTAACTACCATCTGCAAATTACACGTGGTATTGTGTATAAAAGAAATTAAAACTGACTTAAAAATGTTCCCCTCTTCAAGAAACCTCCAGGAAGGTGAATCAAATGGACAATAACCCAACTAAACATTCGAATACGGAAAAATAAAAGTACGATGCACTGTATGGTATCAACAGAGAAGGCACTGTTGATCGGGGCGTACAAGAAAGATGGAAGGGGAAAGCAGCACTTCGAGGGGTTAAGATTTGGGGGTGCAGATCTCAGGGAAGATGGCATTCTCAACAATGGAAATGGTTTGCATAAGGTATAGACTGGCTCTTCAGAGGGTAGTTGGCTGGGAGCGCTGGATATGTGTAGAATAATAGTGGAAGGCAAATTTGGAAAATCTGTGTGCTTTGAATATTAACCAAAGGCGTACCCCCGGAAAAGCAATGAGCACTAAGGAGCTGTTGAAAGCCTGGAGGCAGGGGAATGGCATGACGGGAGTTAGACACCAGGGGCATTCCTGTGGTTGCTGCTTATAAAAACAGAGGGCCAAAGCTAGATGTCTAAGGACTCTACGGAAACGAACCGAGAGCTGTACTGAGATGATGGCCACAGAATAAAGAAGACACAAGGGGTACGGGAGACCTAAATACCCCAAAGGAATATCAATTAATACAAATGTGAGAAATGAGAAACAATTAGGAAGCAAACATGACCATGCAATTTGGGAGGAAACTCCTCTGGTCAGTAGACACCGGAAAGAATTTTAACGTATTTATGCTTATTTACTATGTGTTTAAAATCACTACTCCACAGTGTATTCTACCTTCCACTAATATTCACATTCCACTAATATTCATGTTCCTCTTTTTCTTTTATTTTTGGCGGGTGCCAGGACCAGTGATCACTAGTCCTACATGTGTCTCTCACAACAGGAGCCCTTTTTGAGCTGTTATATTTTTGAAGGAGAAGGCAAAGAATTTTACTAACACAAACTGATTCTGGAAAGCAGCATGGTATGAAATAAAATGAACCGATCTGGGAGTGAAGCAGAAGAGTTTTATACCCAGCTCTTCTGACTATGTACTGGCTGTGTGAATGCAGCAAGTCACTAACCTCTCCAAAATGCAGGAATCCCTAGACTCAGTAGTATTCTAACATCAACTGATGCTTAGAGGAAATGAAGGTAGTTCCTAGCATAACCTCTGAGATTGAATGAATCTATATTTGACTATTTTCCTTGCTTAACCCTCCCTATCAATACTATACTGATTTGTGCACTAGAGCAAGATATGAGATAGACAGATTAGATCTTGCTTTCTGCATAATCCTTTAGTGCCTCATGCATAGTAGGATTTAATAAATGTGCTATTTATTTTAAAATGATGTCAGTTTCTGTAGCTATGAAATTAAGTGGTTGGACAAGATGATTTATTAAGGTTTTGATTTCCAATAGGTAATGATTCCATGTAAACATGTTCCAGCTTCACACCTACAGTCTTGGTTACCCCATGACACGGATGTCATTACTGACACTGGCATGAGTCACATTTTAATTCCATCCCTGTTCTAACCAACACCTCTACCTCGTAAAAGCGATGTGCTTCCATTGAGGGTCAGAAGGAAGGAATAAGCGTACCACAAGTAGCAATAATATGTTCCTTTGGCCACAACTCTTTTTTTCATTTGCCCCCATGTAACCATAAACATCAAAGGGAAAATCACAGTCTTTCTTTTAGCAACCACCAGAAATTGTTTCAATTTTTATTTTGCTAAAATTTATTTTAATCTTTTTGCACTTATACTTACTGAACAATATTTGATCACCCATCTGCCTTATAAGCACTGTGATCCAGAAAAAAGTGTTTTCAAATTCCTGCTTTTTCTTTTTCTGGTCCTCCTGTATAAATTAAACTGTTGTGCTCTTTGGTCTGATATCTTTGCATAAAACACAAGATGTAGTTATGCAAAATAATGTAAACTGAAGTGAACCCCACCTTTGAGAAATAATACTGTCCAGATAATCTGCATAGTTGTGGTTTTCATGTTTCATAGAAATATAATTACATTAAAATTTTTTGTATTTTTTCCTAATTACTGAATATGAATTGTAGCCCATATTTTAAATTTGTGATAACAAAATACCCACAGTTAGTTGGAATGGAAGAGTTTTGTCTCATATATCCTCCTGAGTGATAAATGTTTCCTCAAGGCTGAATGTGTGAACTTCAGGAGAGAACATAGAAATTGGAGAGATCCAATTTCTGAAAATATTTCTAAATTTTTATGAATGTGGAGGTTATCAGAATTTTTATCTGGGCAATTATAGAGACCATAATCTTATTAATCTAAAAAATATAAAGATAGCCTTACGTGAAGGACATGGTTCATAATAACAGTAATTGGGTAATAATTTTTTCTGAAGACTCAAATTTTGGTCAAAATGATGCCACAATCGCATCATCTCATGAGTGAGAGGTACTTTGTCAGGTGAACAATTACAGCACTATTTGGAAACAAAACATCAACAACTCTACCCAGGACTACCAAACACATTTGGTAAATGCTAGCTGAGCAACAGGGAAAAACCAATTTGGACATACATTTAAAAGAACTCAGTATTTGAACAATCAGAGGGCCCTAGAAAGCTTCTTTAAAGAGTAACAAGACAAAAATTCTGATGGTCACAAACACAGAAACTGGCCAAAGCCTGTAACAGGCCCCAGCGGGCAAGCATTCCTAATGCAGAAACTCCCCTGAGCAAACCCACTCTCAGCCCAACCCCCAGCACCATGGCCTGCTGCACCACCAGCTTCTGTGGATTCCCCAGCTGTTCCTGTGGCACCTGTGGCTCTGGCTGCTGCCAGCCTACTGCTGTGGGACAGGGCGTGGGACCAGGTGTGGCATGGGCTGTGGCCAGGGCAGTGGCTGTGGAGCTGTGAGCTGCCGCACCAGGTGGTGCCGCCCTGACTGCCCCCTTGCTGTGTGACGAGCTGCACCCCCCAACCTGCTGCCAGCTGTACCATGCCCAGGCCTCCTGCTGCCGCCCATCCTACTGTGGACAGTCCTGCTACCGCCCAGCTTGCTACTGCTACTGCTGTGAGTCCACCTGCTGCCAGCCCACCTGTTGAAACCTTCTGAGGGGAATCCTGAGAAAATGACACGTCCAAACTAACCAGTAGAGAGTCCCAACAAGCCTCTGAAGCTCCTGTACCCATAATCCAGCTTGCGGCCTCTTGTCACATGGCTACATAATTTGCTAAGATGTAAATTAATTTATAATAGAAGATCCAAAATATTTCATAGACCTGGATATCAACAGAAGTCCAACCATGTGAAAAGAGTGCATAGTAATATTGCTATAAGTATCACCTAAAATATATGCAACAGCTCCTTGGGTTTGGGCTTTAATAAAAGTTTTCATTCTTCAATGATGAAGTTGTTGTTGGAGAATTCTTTGGAACTTGTCACTGATTCTGGGGCACTAGGGTTTTTCAAATCTCAATAAATGTGGTGGAGCACTACAATTTTTCATTATTGTGGCTTTCGTAATGATCTTTAAAAGGTGGTCTTCCATTGTTCATTGATTGAATGGTCCAATATTCTGCAGCCAAAATATATGATTAAAGTAATATATCAGTATTTACAAACTATTTCTTGGGATCCTCAACTGTGCAGTTGATGGGTGAAGTGTTGCAGAAGGACAGATCTACAAAAAGAAACTCTATGCCATTTAGTTTCTTGAAAACATTGCTGAATCCACTTACTCATTCATGTATAATTCTGTGTGCAGTTCATTCGATCAGCAAGGGTATAAAAAGGGTAGCACTTGACTGGAAAGACAATGCACACAAGATCCTACAATAATACGTAAGATGGAAAGGCATCCTGAGTTCTAGACCCTGCCCTTTAACTAACAATCCGTGAATTTTTTAGTAATCCCTTCACCTGCCTAGGCATCTATTTCTAACCTCAAAAATGAAAGAATGGAGTTTTTCTACTTATAATGTCCCTTCCAGGCATAGGGTACTAAGTCACTTCCTAAACAGGGGACATACTGACCATTAGTCACCTCAGATTCCCAAAGAAGAAAAAGTAGTCAATGGTCAAATATTGTTGAATATGTTACCACCATATGTATATGAAACACATTAGAATATGAAAGAGGCCTGACTGGTGTGGCTCAGTTGGTCAAGCATTGTCCTGCAAAGCAAAAGGTTGCTAGTTCGATTCCTGGTCAGGGCACACACCTGGTTTGTGGTCCAGTCCCTGATTGGGACACATGCGAGAGGCAACCGATTGTTCTGTCTCTCACACATCGATGTTTTTCTTGTTCTCTTTTGCCCTCCCTTCCCCTATCTCTAAAAATAAATAAATGCAATCTTTACAAAAAAGAACATCAAAGGAAGTGAGATGTCCTGTAAAACGGAACCTCTATACCCATCACTGCCAAACTGATTTAACTGGGGTATCCTCTACTCCCTTATCACCAGCTAACACCTAGTGTTCCTCAAAACACACTTCACAAAATGACTGAAGGGAATTTCAAGTGCTGTTTTTACAAGACCTATACAGTTCTCATGGACTGTGATGAAGACAATAAGTGTCCATTACAGAGATGGATTTCAGCGAATACAATGTCGGCATACACTATCCCCATTTTTATCCAATCTCCAGAGAGACTTCTAGAATGAAGCAGAGATGAAATAAACGACATATAATGGAGCTTCCATGATAATGAATAAAATCTTTGGGATCTTAAAATCCAAGTGGTGAGCCACCAGCTGAGGGTAGAGGGAATGAGAAGTGATTACTTGGAGGCTGGTAGGTGTGTCTCTGGGTGATGAACGGTGTTGAAACTGGAGAGAAGCATGGTGGTGGTACATCGTGAAAGCAACAGATGCCCCTCAATTTCATACTTTAAATGGTAATTTGTGTTATGCGAATTTCACCTAGATTTTTTTAGAAGTCAGAGGGATGGGGTCTCCACCAGCACAACGTCGTAAGAATTAGAAAAAGGCACCACCTTTGGCTAAACACAGCCCAAGGCACACAGCGCTTGTTGAACCCACAGCTCTTTGTGTGAAGAATAAGGCTCTCCTTCCTCTGAGTGGACAGAGCCCCCATCAAAGCACACCCTACACACTCGTATACAATACCTCTGAAATGTGGTCGATACTCCGTTCCCTCCCCTACCGCTCTCCCGTCTCCCACCATCCTGGGATGGCTTCGACTGGATGCACCCTTTACTTCACAGGGCTTCAGCTCAGAAGCACTGGGAAGAGCTAGGTTGGCATCCAGGAGAGAAGAGAATGATCTTGTTACTTGGTTTAGCATCGAAAGGTGGGGGGTATTCATTTGGTTGGCGTACCAACCATGTCTTATCTCTCAGGAATTTAAGTAAGGCAGATGCAGCTGATTTACAGAACTGATTAAAGGGAAGTTTGAGGAATTAGAAGATCACCCAAAACTTATAACTAGAAAAATGGAACCCTGGCATGTTAAAGAAAAATAATTTCATATGTTAACATCTGTACACAGATGTCAAAAATTCAAGAATAATAGAGAAACACATCCTCTCTTCTTATGGTACTGAAATGGCCTGGGCACCATAACTTAAATAAAATAATTAAAACCAGAAAGAATGGGCACAGAAATTTTAAAAAGCTTTAAATGTAAAGGCCCTGGTAATTTTTTTTCCCCAAAGAAAACCACCAATAGAAATATCCAGCATTTTAAAAGCATAGAGAATCAACACAGGGGAAGAGCACAAGCAATGAAACTTCTCACTCTATTTGTATGAGAACCAGGAAGAAATGGATTTAAGTGGTAGGACAGTAAGAAATTTTTTCTTTTCTTTCTTTCTTTAGGGGAGGGCGAGGAATGTTCGGATTCATCTCCATTCTGTGGCAAAGGGGCAGAATCGTCCAATTATAAGTATCATACATTATATGATGGTTTATTGTTTTGTACCAAGTTGACTGGGCTGAGGGATAAGCAGAGAGCAGCTAAAACATTATTTCTGGCTGTGCAGGTGGGGCTGTCTTTATTGCAGGAGAGATTAGCGTTGGATCCGTAGACTGAATAGAAAAGACGGACCACCCTCGCCGACGCGGCCAGGCATAGGTTAGTCCAGTGGGGGCCCGAATAAAACAAAAAAGGCAAAAGAAGGGAGAAATCGTGCCCCTGCTCCAGCTGAGACATCCACCTTCTTCTGCCCTCAAGTGGATTGGTGTCCAGTTTGACTTCTCAGCCTTCGTAATTACATGAGCCAATCCCTCCCAATAAGCAAATGTATTTATTGATACTTACACTGAAATACATACAGGGGTGGACAAAAGTAGGCTTACGGTTATTTGTATGGAAAAAGACACGCAGGTTATGATCCTTACAATATCTGTATTGACTCAAAAGCAGCTCCCTCACAGCTGTGAACCCACCTTTGCCTGCCCATGTACTTATATATCCTGTTGTTGTTTATCCTGTTGATTCTGGTTCTCTGGAGAGCCCTGACTGAAACAGCTTATTCTTAATAATTCTCCGAGGGCAACTAAAGCCCAGACCCATGAAAACTGAGTTAAATTTTGCACTGAGGAAAATGTTGAAAATAATGGCAGAAAAGCACAGAAAGAGGAATATGATACATGATACTACCATCTCCAGTGTCCCTATCAACCTGCACTTCACTTCCCCGAACATCTGAACTTTGTGCAAGGAGACACAAGTCGGCTTAGTCTCAAAGATTCTGTTGAATTTAGGAGTGAAACAGATAGCTCCTGGGGTTATTGTAACAACAAATCCTCACATTTCCAACCTCCTAGGTGGAAAATTAGCTAATTAATCAGTGATCCGGATTTGCAAAAGGAGAAGAAGAAAAAAATCGCCAAGAACCATACCTTTTAAATCACATTTAATGTGGGATTTGAAAATGTCTTCATTCTAACTTGGAACGAGTTATGATCTGAACTCGAAGCTTTCATTCTGGAGAAGCAGCACTAACCCCTGGTGCTCCAGTTCAAACCCCCAAGTGGCATTTCACTTCCACTTCCCTGGAATAGTGGCCCTACTCCCCGGGGGCCAGTCCACCTCACACTGCACTGAAACGGAAACTTGCCCTTCACCCCACCAGCTGCCTCATTCAAAATACGTAAACTTTTAGGCTCATTGGACTAGTCTCGAACAACTACAGTGAAGAGCGCACTGCCCATCTAATCCAAGACAGGATGCCACATACTCTAGTTTTAATATATTGAGAGTGTGACTTTTATTCAGTGAAGAACATTTATGGTCATCACAGGAAAAAATGTAACTGTGTGGTGATGGATCTTAATTAACCTGCTGTGGTGATCATTTTAAAAATTATATATATATATATATATATATATATATATATACACACACATATATATATATACATATATATATATATATATGTATATACACACACACACACATCAAATCATTATGTTGTACACCTGAAACTAATAAATGTTACATGTCCGTGGTACCTCAATTTTAAGAAAAGAACATTTAAATCTATAGAATATCTTAAAATCAAAGATTGGATGCAGTTCCAAGTCAAGCAAGATTAACTCTTTTAGCAATTACGTTTTTCTTGAAGAATATGTATTCTACATTTTTAAAAAAATAAAGCCTCCGGAGAAATCTCTAATAAACAGCAGTGTCACTCACCCTGCTCTCCGCCTTTCTTCCCTTCACTCTCCAGCAGTCTGCAAGAAGACGGCAAACTGCCACTTCTTGCACTCGCCCTTCGACTTTCTCCAGAACACCCGCCTACACGGAAAGGAGGGAATGGGCAGCAGTGGTTTAAAGAGCTGAGTCTGAAGTCGGATGGCAAGGGCTCAAATTCCAGATCCACTGCTTGTTAAAGTGAGCTTGGGTGGGGGATTTAAATCCATGTGGGGCTCAGTTTCCTCCTGAGGAAGACGGAGGAGCAACAATACCTACCCCACAGGACTGCTGTGAAAATCAAAGGAATTGACGCAAGCAAAGTCCTCAGGCACAAAATAAGTGCTTCAGACAAACAGTTTTCAGTAACAACTCATGCATTTCCCAGCTCCTGGTGAGGGCATCCCTGTCTGACTCCCTGAATCACGGCGCTTCCCTGGCAAAGTGAAGGTAAGAAAGGAAGAGAAGGGGCGACTGTTGACACTGGAGGCCACATTGACGCGAATGAAACTGTCATGTGAGACCCCAGAGCTTAGGGTCAACACTGAGTAATATTGACACTCCTTAAAGGTGAGGCATCAGTCAATTATTCTTTGGGCAATGAGCAAATTGTAACAAATATGGGAAATTAGGGGTTATGTAGTCATAGAGCGCTAATGACCACTTGGCTGTGGTAAAGGATCCTAATTGAACACCAAATAAAATCAACTTGTAAAGGCTTTCAGAAGGTTGAACAAGTAACTCAGAAACAGGGCAATTATAAATCAGAAACAATTCGTTCAAACACAAACGAGGAAGAGACGGGTGGGAATTACGTAAATAATAGCTGCCCAAGGCCTATAAAAGGCCAAATGTGGAAGTTATCGCCCAAAACTAAAAAATTTCTCCAAGCAACCCAACTCTCAACCCAACCCAGACACCATGGCCTGCTGCAACACCAGCTTCTGTGGATTCCCCAGCTGTTCTGGTGGCACCTGTGGCTCCGGCTGCTGCCAGACCAGCTGCTGCCAGCCAACCTGCTGTGGGACAGGGTGTGGGACCAGCTGTGGCACTGGCTGTGGCCAGGGCAGTGGCTGTGGAGCCGTGAGCTGCCGCACCAGGTGGTGCCGCCCTGACTGCCGAGTGGAGGATACCTGCCTGCCCCCCTGCTGCGTGACGAGCTGCACCCCCCCAACCTGCTGCCAGCTGCACCATGCCCAGGCCTCCTGCTGCCGCCCATCCTACTGTGGACAGTCCTGCTGCCGCCCAGCCTGCTGCTGCTACTGCTGTGAGCCCACCTGCTGCCAGCCCACCTGTTGTGAGCCCACCTGCTAAAAAGCCAAGTTGCTGATTTTCAACCTGTAGTTTCAACTTCCAACTCAGTCCATGAACTAATTACACGTTCAACTACCCCTGGGCCACTAACAAGTTCTTGAACTTTTATTTGGCTTTTTCACGGAGGTTACCAGATATGAGACTCACAGACCTCTCTTCCTCACAAAGCTTGGTCTCCCCACGGAGGCTGCAAAATACAAGTTTGACTCAAGAAACGGAAAAACCAAATTGTGCTGGGATTGACCTTCAGCAACTGTTTGATCCCACGCTCTAGGACTCCATGCCACCGAGGATGTGGAAGAACCATCTGCACTTCTCAGACATGTTCACCTCCTGTGCTCCGCCATCCTGCACATTGTACTTCCCATGAGAGACCACTGTACCAAGTCCTAATAAATTGTATCTGTTTGGTGCAGCAAACACGTTTTTTTCTTCATTGAGTGTGCTCATCGTGTATATTTCATAGAAAGTCACGCAAAAGATTTTAATCTGGTCTTGCTATATATACTATACTGGCTCTTCTTATACAATGTTAGGAAATTTGATCAGGTCCAATAGGAGTTATTCCCCCATAAAAAGACCTAGCAAATGCAGTTCTAGGGCCTCAGAAATGGCGCAGCCCTATGACCACATCCTGACCTCACACAGGACTTTCACAACCAGGAAGCTGCAGAAGTCAGGGCCTCTGAATCCAACCCCAGAATGGATCATTTTTGCATGGCTGTTAGAGGAATGCTCTTTCAGGCAATCATCAAACAATGGTAATGCATGCTAATATATCACACTTTTCCATGTACATGTGGTCTTATTATCATAGCTAGTTAGCCAATTATTAGTAAAAGGGGAGCAGAAGAAATTGGACAGTGTGTTTAATAAGTGGGGAGCATGAATCTGCTTGTTTCATCTCCATGGAATGATGGCATTTCTCCGCCAAGGGATTAACACTCCCCCCTCTCTGCCTCCAGTGCCAGACTGTTGTGGGGGCACAGGGGGAGGTGTTTCACTATGGAGGCCTGTCAGTCTAACTAGAAGGTGGACCTATCAAAATCCCGTGAAAACCTGGGAAGTTTCATTGGTTATTTTGAAAAAGCATCTGGTCTTTCCCAAACTTTAATATAATCCCAGGGATACAAAGAACCTCTCCCTCCCACCCCCACCACCTGGTACTGCACTGGCCACATGCACTTGTGTGTTCTCTCTTGCAAGGGGGCACACAACCATGTAGGTATAGCAGCTACTGGGACCCATGATAAACTGTGTGGGCTCCAAAAACAAATAAGCTTTAATATGGCACAGGATCCTGGACATTGACTCTATTTCCGGCCTTGATTTTCCATGGCAGGATGAACAGCAATGGGATGTTGGAAGCCCAGGGGCAGCCTTCCACCTGAATGAACCATTTTGTCGCAGTCTTCTGTGCATGAGTCCTTGGGATGCTTTCCTCACCATCCCGTGGAAGAGCCTGATTTCCACCAACAATAGTCTGGCAGAGTAAAGCAAGAGAACTATAAGTTGGGAAAGTGTCCCCAAGGAAAAATGCTTTTAATTAGATGAAGTTTTTTTGAAGATTTTATTTATTTATCTTTAGAGAGGAAGGGAAGGAGAAAAGGAGAGAAATATCAATGTGTGGTTGCCTCTCGTGCATCCCCTGCTGGGAACTGGCCTGCAATCCCACACACAGCGTCACAAACCAACCACTGGGTTGCTACATCCTGGTGAACACCTAAAGCTGCGCCCCTCATATCTAACAGGCACAAACAGATCAAAACATGGCTCAACAACAGCTCAGAGCCCCAGAGCTGATAAATCTAAGCGATGAAGAAATAGCCAAATTTTCAGATGCACAGTTCAAAACACTGGTGATCAGGATGCTCACAGAACTGGTTGATTTTAGTCACAAATTAAAGGAATATATGAAGGCTAAACTAATTGAAATGAAAGGAAATACACAGGAAACCAATAGTAATGGAAAGGAAACTGGGACTCAAATCAAAGGAGTATTGCAGTGTATATAATACACACATGCAATAAATTTATACACATTTAAATACAAGCATTACAGAATACTTCATAAATGTGGGCGATTTGGGGGGGAAGATCAGGATTAATTCATTGTTCCTTGGAATTAGAACTAGATGAAACAAAAGGTATTCTTTTTTTATTAAGAATATATAAAAGACTTAAATGTAAGTCACAAAACCACAACCATCCTAGAATAAAACTTAGGCAGTAAAACCTCAGACATCTCTCATAGCAATATTTTTGCTGATATATCTCATAGGGCAAGGGAATCAAATAAAAAATAGACAAATGGGACTAATCAAACTAAAACACTTTTGCACAGCAAAAGAAACCATCAACAAAATGAAAAGGTAACTAATACATGAGAGAGCATATTTGCCAATTATACATCTGATTTGGGGTTAATCTCCAAAGTACATAAACAACTTATACAATCCAACACCAGAAAGACAAACAACCCAATTTAAAACAGGGTCAAGGACCTGAATGGACACTTTTCCAAAGAGGACATACAGATGGCCCATTGACATATTAAAAAAATGTTCAACATCACTAATCATCAGAGAGGTGCAAATTAAAACCACAACAAGATATCACCTCACACCTGCCACACTGGCCATCATAAACAAATCAACAAACAACAAGTGGTGGTGTGGATGCAGAGAAAAGGGAGTGCTTATGCACTCTTGGTGGAACACCAATTTGAAAGAATATATGCACCCCTATATTCACTGCAGTGTTATTTACAATAGCCAAGATCTGGAAATGGCCCAAGTGCCCATCAGTAGATGAGTGGATAAATAAAAGCTATTGTACATTTACACAATGAAATACAACGTAGCCATATAAAAGAAGAAAATTTCACCTTTTGCAACAGCATGGATGGACCTGGAGATTATTATGCTAAGTGAAATAAATCAGCCAGAGAAGGACAAATACCATATGATCTCACTTATATATGGAATAATGAACAAAATAAACTGACAAACGAAATAGAAAAAGAAGCATAGATGCATGGAACAGACTGACAACTCTCAGAGGGGAAGGTGGAGTGAGGACTAGATGAAAAAAGGAGAAGGAATTAGCCAAAGATTATATATGCATAACCCATAGACACAGACAACAGCATGGTGATGGCCAGAGGGAAGGGGGAAGGGGCTGGGTGACGGTGAGTGAAGAGGGAAGCAGGGGGGAAATGGGGACATCTGTCATAGTGTCAACAATAAAAATGAAATTAAAAAATAAAAATTGAAAAAGAATATTACTTTGGTTAAAATTACAATGCTTTATTCATTTAAGGTTTAATAAAAATCAAGTAATTAGAAAGCATGAATAAAGGATAACATGTAAGCAAAGAATCAATTTCCCTGACACAGCACCAAGATATCTATCAAATCCAGAAAATACACCTTGAGCAACAGAACGGAAATGAAGACACATTTGACCCCTTGCCCCTTTGATTCTAACTACTGAGCACTTTCAGGTATCACTACCTAATAGCTCATATGAGAAACACAAAAAACGGACAAGAGACTTTGGTGAAATTTGACTGTTTATCATTACCATACACTACCAATCATTCATCTCCTCTTTAATTCAACAAGCACAGACTGAGCATCTACATTCAAGATGGTGCAGAAGGTACTATGTGGGAAACTATAGTGAACCAGACATGGACCTTTCCTTAGGGAAAGGGCAGATCTGGTAGAACAACTACACAATTTTATCCCTGGAGGGGTCTGAGAGATCATCTCATTTTACAGATGAATAAACCAGTGTTCAGAGGGATTAAGTGACTTTTCTGAGGTTCAGTCACTTAATGGTAGAACCAGTTTGAGAAGCCTATTTAATGCAATTAACTTAATTCTTAAGTTAAGAGCTCAGTCCTGCGTATCATGTGACCACCTCTAGTCACTTAACCCTGAAACTGTTTATCATAGAAATGGACACTTGAAGCCTATATGATGATATTAACCAATGTTACTCCAGTAACTTAAATAAAAATAGTCACCTTCAGTTTAAAATTCTATAATTTTTTAAAATTCAAAAGCACAAACTAAAAACAATTGAAGACTTCTCAGTAGAGGATTACTGAATAAAATGTGGTAAGATAATGCATATTGTTAAAATATCCATACTACCTAAAGCAATCTAAAGATTTAATTCAATTCCTGTCTAAATTCCAATGGTGTTTTTCACAGAAATAGAAAAAATCCTAATATTTGTATGGAGTCACAAAATATTCCAAATAGCTAAAGAAATCTTTGGAAGAAAGAACAAAGCTGGAGGCATCACACTTCCTGGTTTCAACTATGTTACAGAGCTACAGTGATCAAAATAGTATGGTACTGACATAAAGGCAGACATGCAGACAAATAGAATAGAATAGAGAGCCCAGAAATAAACCCTCACATATATAGTCAAATGATTTTCAATAGGGTGTCAAGACCATTCAAGGGGAAAGGACACTCTTTTCAACAAATAGTGTTGGAAAAAATGGATATGCACATGCAAAAAAAAGTCAACCCTATCTTACACATATAAAATTAAATCAAAGGGGATCAAAGACCTAAAACTCATAGAAGGAAACATAGGGGGAAAACTTCATTATGTTAGATTTGGTGATGATTTCTTGGACATGACACTGAAAGCATAGACAACAAAATTAAAAATAAATTGAACTACATCAAAATTAAAACTTTTGTGCATCCAAGGACACAATTAACAAAATGGAAAGTAATCTACAGAATGAGGGAAAATATTTGCAAATCACATATCTGATAAGGGGTTAATATCCAAAATATAAAAAGAACTCTTAAACTCAACAAGAACAACAAAACAAAAGTTGGGCAAATGACATGAACGGACATTTCTCCAAGAAGATAAACAAATGATCAACAAGCACATGAAAAGGTGCTCAGTATCACTAATAATTGTGAAAGTTCAAATCAAAACTGTAATTACATACCACCACACACCCATGGCTACTCTCAGAAAACCCAACAAGGGCTGGCAAGAATGTGGAGAAATCGGAACTCTTACGCACTGTTGGTGGGAATGTGAAATAGCACAATCACTATGAAGAAGCAGTTACACAAAAAATTAAAAATAGAATTACCTAAAAATATAAAGTAGCAATTCCATTTCTAGATATATACCCAAAAGAATTGAAAGCACAGTGTTGAAGAGAGATTTGCACACCCATGTTCATGGTAGCCGTTAGAGGAGGTAATCAAGAGAACATGACCACTGGTTGACCAGAGAGCTGGACATGATCATTCTGAGGATCCTCATTCCTTCCCCTGCATTTGGAATGTACTCTCTACCTACCCTCCCCAAACAGGAGCTGTTCTCAAGGACACAGCCTTGAGAGAGCAATGAGTTGCCAAGACCACTTGGATGGTATATGTGCCTAAATTCAGTTAAAGCCTCCATCTAGACTTTTAAGATTTGGCCGGCAGTTGAAGTCATTGCTTGTCTTGCTGTCACCCAAGACAAGCCTTATAAGTAAGTTCTCTTGCCTTTTAAACCTACCACCTACCAATATGGAGTGGTCTACCTCTTTCCTTGGTCTCTCCTGTTTTTTTGTGTATGGGGGCTGGTTTGCAAAGCCAGAGCAGCATTAATCACATAGCCAAAAGGTGGAAGCAACCCAACTGTCCACTGATGGATGAATGGATAGACTATAGTGTATACACACCATGGAATATTATTAAGCCTTAAAAAGGAAAGAAATTCAGATATATTCTACAACAGGAATGACTCTTGAGAATATTATGCTAAGTGAAATAAGCCAGTCACACACAAAAAACCCACAAATACTATATGATTCTACTTGTATGAGATACCAAGAGTGGTCAAATTCATCAAGATGCAAATTAGAATGGTGGCTGCCAAGGGTTAGGGGCAGGGAGGGGAGAATGGGAAAATTATTTAATGGAGACAGTATTTCTGTTTTGTAAGATAAAAAGAACTGACAATGTGAATTTACTTAACATTAGTGAACTATACACTTAAAAATGGTTAAGATGGTAAACTTTGTTATATGTGTTTTACTATAAACTGTTTAAAAATAAATATGTATAGGAGACCCCAATTTTACTGAATTAGAAGTTATATGCATATATATATGCTGGTTCATGTTTGCAAAAACAGGAAGAAAGGTGTTGAACAACAGGCACCAAACTTAATTTTTGTTTTCAATTTTTACTGTTGTTCAAGTACAGTTTTCGGCCTTTTTTCCCCATCCCTCCCCACCGCCCCAGCCCTCCTTCCTGTTTCCACCTGCCTTGTTATTGTCCATGTGTCCTTTATAGTTGCTCCTGTAAACCCTTAATGTTGATTACCTTCTGGAGTACTAGTTTTGGAAAGGATGTGTGTGTTTTGGGGAAGGGAGGGAAAATATTAACCCTTCTATGTATGTCTTTGGACTGTTTGACTTGTTAAAATGTACATTCATTACCAGCATATATTTTTAATTTAGCAGAGTCAGAAAATAATCTACAAGAGAAAAATCAATCTTTAAGGGTCTCAGTTGGAAATTTGTCGATTGATGATTAAAGACAGAAACACCCTTAAGGGCTTGAGCATCCTGTAACTCGCACACGCTGACCACAGAAAGGCATTTCTTTCCACGTTGATGCTTCAGGTGAGTGCTCACATTTTGATGATCCTCATGTTAGTTACTCCAAGTCTAGACAAATTGTTTATGAAAATCATGACCCTTATTTGAGTGGCCACCAATGGAGAAAGTGTTCAGTTTAGATAAACTCTGCCTGGGGGCTATCAAAGGGCAATTTTGACAGAGCAAGCCAGGGCAGCAGTGGAACCAAGATGATCATCGGGGGAGCTGCCATGATTGGCTTCCATAATGAGCCCTCACTTGAGCCACAGGGCAAAGAAATATAATGAGACTTAATTGAGGATGACCAAAGCAGGCCATGAAATGCTATTTATAACTTTCTAAACAACTCAGGTATTAGCCAATCAGTGACCAACTTTGTAAATAATGACAAAGAAAAATGCTAAGTATAAGGAAAATTGCTGTCTCTTGGGACTATATAAAAGGCCAGCTGTAGAAGGTGCAGCCAAAACTCAAGAACTTAACAACACAACTCTCAGCACAAACCCAGACACCATGGCCTGCTGCACCACTAGCTTCTGTGGATTCCCCAGCTGTTCCTGTGGGACCTGTGGACCCAGCTGCTGTCAGCCAAGCTGCTGCCAGCCCAGCTGCTGCCAGCCAACCTGCTGTGGGACAGGGTGTGGGACCGGGTGTGGCATGGGCTGTGGCCAGGGCAGTGGCTGTGGAGCCGTGAGCTGCCGCACCAGGTGGTGCCGCCCTGACTGCCGTGTGGAGGACACCTGCCTGCCCCCCTGCTGCGTGGTGAGCTGCACCCCCCCAACCTGCTGCCAGCTGCACCATGCCCAGGCCTCCTGCTGCCGCCCATCCTACTGTGGACAGTCCTGCTGCCGCCCAGCCTGCTGCTGCTACTGCTGTGAGCCCTCCTGCTGCCAGCCCACCTGTTGAAAAGAAGGTTGCTGATTACTTAAGAATGAATGGAGAAGCATAAGAAAACTCTTGATTTCTGAAGAAATGTCCTTTACTTGGATGCTAAGTATTATGATGTTTCTAAGTCACTCAGAAATAACAAGTTTTAGGAACATCTTGAATGTGCTGAATTAGCCCCCTGAAAACATGTATCAGAGTGTCACATCAGGGACATCTCTGATGTCCTATTCCCTATCTCTTGATTCCTATCTGCTTCCTCCTTGAATATCCCCTGTTCATTTCAAATAAAATGTTTGAATGTGCTAAGCAAACTGAGTTATTTTCTTTCTTCTATCTTGAAGCTTGCCCACCTTTAGCTGAAATTCAAGAAGAGTTGGTTTTTATTTTGATAATCCTAAGGCATAAGCATAAAAGTCTAAACCAGAAAGATTAAATACAGATTGCATTATGCTTCCATCCATCAGTTAATAAAATGTTCCATGTATTGAATAATGTTTGTAGTTATTCAAATACTTACAGGCTCTAATCTATGACAATTAGATATGAACCTATAAGGTCACTTTTAGCTAAAATTTTCTGGTTGATCGAAGCTATGAGATTCTACCTAGATGTAACACCCTTCCCTGTAACATACCTGATATTCTCCTTCATGCATGCCCAATGTCTAAAAAAAATGTATTACCGACTAAGTAGATTTTAAAATATGTACCAGATCAGAAACTGTTCCCCAACAGCATTTAGGTTTTCATTTCTATGCTTTAGCTTATTATATTCTTCCCACTGATTCTCAAATGGATCTCTAAGCTTCAACTCCCAACACTCACCTTCATTGCTGTAAGTGTGTATGAGGTATATCACTGGTCTAAATGAAAGCAGAATAAACAACTATGCAGGTTACAGCATCACCATTTGTCAGACACATGCATTAGAAATATGGAACAACTATATACTTTGCATTTCCAATCTGAAAAAATGTTCTCCTAATAAGTTAGCACAAATCTAGACCCCAAAAATACCTTTTACTAATTAATTTTCATTTCTTAAGTTATTTGTGTGCAATAGACAAAATACATGACAAAATATCAAAAAAAATAAGACAAGTGTTTTCCAAGTTATGTACAAGCTTCCAGAACTTACTTCTATCATTTAATTAGTAGCAATGAGATATTACACACAAGATAACACATTTCAGAGAAGAATAAAGGGAATGGCAGTATAGTCTTCAAAAGGTCTGAACTCCAGATGTTTGTTTCTGAGCCTTGGTTCAGTTACTAAATGTGCTGTAGAAAACAACATCAGCATTTCCTGGTCTCTTTTGCCATAAACAAGGACTCCCTCAGGAGAGGTGCTAAGCTTGAAAGTTCTATTTAATCATCGCTGAGGGGTTCAGGCACCCGCGATTCATGCCTCTTACTCCACCCACACAAAACCATATTCAATAAACATTAAGGCACTACCAGAAGCCCCACACTTTTTTAGATACTTTTTTATATATTACGACATTTGGTTCACAAAAAAAAGATGTTTGGCCTGAAACACGAATAATATTTGCGCATTTCAAATGGGTTGGAATAAAACGAACTCTGATGGTAATTTGATGTGATGTTGGAGTAAGTAACTTGGACACCACATAATGCATGACGGAAGGCACTCTTCCAATTCAGTGGGTGTCCCGATGTCCTAAATTCAAGAGAATTTAGCCTATATATCTAGGAGGAAAAAACTAATAGTGAAAAAAAGGAGCACAATTATCCTTAGCCTTAGGGGTCTGGACAGAGTGTCATGTGGAATAAATACCTCCATAAAGCAAGTGTGTTGATGTGGACTAAAATAGGGGGACTCTTTGAACGTGGAAAACCACAAACCTATTCTAAGGACGGGAGGACAGGTGTGAGGGGTCCAAATGAAACTACAAAACAAAGTCATTTCTGAACTGCTACTCATAATGTGTCATAAGTATTTCAGTGTGAGCCAATCAGAGGCCCACTGAGGAACAAATTTAAATGAAAACAAGGAAGGTATGTTAAGAATTGTATAAATAGCAGCCGGTCAGGGTATATAAAAGGCCTGACATAGAAGTCACCATCAAAACGCCTACGAGAAACCCAAGCCCAGACACCATGGCCTGCTGCACCACTAGCTTCTGTGGATTCCCCAGCTGTTCCTGGGGGACCTGTGGACCCAGCTGCTGCCAGCCAACCTGCTGCCAGCCCAGCTGCTGCCAGCCAACCTGCTGTGGGACAGGGTGTGGGACCGGGTGTGGCATGGGCTGTGGCCAGGGCAGTGGCTGTGGAGCCGTGAGCTGCCGCACCAGGTGGTGCCGCCCTGACTGCCGTGTGGAGGACACCTGCCTGCCCCCCTGCTGCGTGGTGAGCTGCACCCCCCCAACCTGCTGCCAGCTGCACCATGCCCAGGCCTCCTGCTGCCGCCCATCCTACTGTGGACAGTCCTGCTGCCGCCCAGCCTGCTGCTGCTACTGCTGTGAGCCCACCTGCTGCCAGCCCACCTGCTAAAGCCAGGTTGCTGATTTTCAATGGACTGGGACACAGTATCTGAACAATTTGTCTCCTTGACACCCCCCGGACCACTAACAGGTTCTTAGGCTTCTATTTGGGTTTCGGTTATGGGAGCTACCAAGTCAGTGAGTTCTGTTTGATTCTGTTCTACGATGAATACCTTGATGCACAGCAGACATAGGAGTGCTGTGAACTCACCTGATGATCATCAAATCTCTTTGGATATGCTCTTCCTGATTTCCCGGCAGGGCTGGAAATTACTGCCATATTGTGGATTTCATCCTTGAGAACTGTCCACAAGACTAATTTCCCCTGCTCTGTGATTTATTCTGAGCTTCTGTTTACCTAAAAGAATTTCCAACATTAAAGACACCAGGTTACAGCCAAGTGACAGTCCTCAGATGTCACCAGAGAGAATGGAAGCTCTTCACCCAACCTGCAGCTTCTGAGAAGTAGACTAGTCTTTTCCATATTTCAACATCTGATCTCATCCATTTTTTGGGGGGTGCATCATAATGACCTTTCCTGTGGGCTGTTTTAATTATATCTGTGTTATAGTGTCTTCTGTCATTTCTTAATAAATGTTATTTACTCGGCAAAGAAATCGTGGTCTGTGTTTCCACTTGAACATGAAATCAGTGAATTGCTTGTAGTTCAAAAATGTCCACTTCTGAGACATACACTTGTTTCTTTTTAAAAGAGACTGAAGCCATATACAGTGTATCATTCAATAAAAATGTATTGACCACCACTTCTCAGGAAGGGACTAAGGAAATAAGAAAGATCAAGAATTAATTCTCATCTTTGGAGACCTTACTATCCAGCAAGAAAAAGAACGTGTGTGAAAACAGACACCCACCATGTGACGATGGTAGAAAAAGTCTCCCTCTACCTTAGGGATGAACGCTTTTGTGACCAAAACGCCTCGATGGCTCAGCCTACGACAAGACTGTCCCAGGAGATGTGCGTGCTGGCAACTCCAAAAGCTTAAGAGAAAGATGTTAACCGATTACACATGAGACAGAGAGAGAAATATTTTTTTCCTTCAGAAAGAAGTGAGGAGTAAAAAGGAGGAGAGATCTAGTCAGCAGGTCAGGAGCGTTACTCTGCAACCCCTCCACATAAAGCTTCCACACACAGCCTCTGGGATGCTCAACTTTCCTGCAAAAACCAGTGAAGGAGCCGAGCTTCATGTCTGGGTTGACTCGGGGGAAGAGGAGAACAGCCAGGAGCCAGACAGAGCAAGGAGGGGGACAAGACAGTAATGGCCCAGGGACCCTCAGAAACGGTGGAGAGGCATTGGATGGAGCCTGCGGCAGGAAGTAATATCTTAGGTAAACTGCAAAGAAGAGAGAAGGCTCCAAAACAGGATTTCAAAAAGAAGGAGATCACTTTGGGACCAGCAAGGGCTCTGCTGGGGGCAGCATTAGGGAAGACTTCACGAGGGAGGTAGCCTTTGAAGTGGGCCTTGAAGGTCATTCTTAAAGGGAAAAAAACGAGTGAGTGAAAAAGAGCCCAACCCACACACCTATTATAGTGGCTAAAATCCAACACAATGACGACACCGAATGGCAGCAAAATGTGGTGGATCAAGAGAAATTCTCAGTCTTCACCAGCAGGGCAGTGAAATGGCGCAGCCGCTTTGGAGGACAGTTCAGCTGTCTCTTCAAAGCTAAACGCAGGCTTACCATACACCACAGCAGGTGCGCTCCTCGGTGTTTACCCGCATGGGTTGGGAACTCGTATCCATGCAAAAACCCGCACGTGGACATTGATAGCAGCTTTGTTCCTAATTGCCAAAAATTGGCAGCAACCAAAATGTCCCCCAGTAGGTGAATGAATAAACAAACTTTGGTGCATCCATTCAATAGAATTCTATTCTATGATAAAAAGAAAAGATTTATCAAACCCCAAAAGAACATGAAAGAATCTTAAATGCCCATTGCTTAATGTAAAAAGCCAATCTGAAGAGGCTACGGACTATGTGGTTCCAACTACACAGAGACGGGAAAAGTCACCAAAGTGCCCTGTGTACTCTACCCTGAAGGTATCTGTACTACAACACTGTCTACAAGATTATGAATTTAAAAAATACATTTCAGAAATGGGAAGACACGAGACTGGCCTAGGAAATCCAAGCAGAAGCCAACCGCGAGGCTCCGAGAACGTTTCCTTTACTGATACAAGGCATGCACGCTGCCGGTGCTCCCACCTCCTCCTCACCCCACTCTCCTTCCTACTTTACACGCAGATGTGGCTCCTGGAGCTACGAAACCCCAGGGAGTGGAAGGGACACCGATCCTGACCCACTCGAGTCTGTACACCAACGCTAGCAACTGTCTACCTGTGAAAACGGTAAGTCCTTGACCAAGTCAGTGTTTGTCGGCTTTTCCAAAGCTGGACATCTCAGACAGCCCTGACTGCTGCACCGTGCTAAATGGCTTCCTGTGTACGACAGCTAAGAGGGTTTCAGATGCATAAGTACTTTAGTGATGGAGAAGGACTTCAGTTCCCAATGACAAATCCTAAAGCAAAAGTGGGGGGCATTTTTACTGAAGTTCATTGACCATGACATGAGTAGATGGACAACAAGAATGGATGGGAGGAAATATGGAGGGTGGGTTCAGGTAATGAAGAATGGAGAAAAGAACAAAAAGGGAGAGAAAAATACAAAGCAGAGGAGAAAAACAGAAAAAAGACACAATGAAAAAGACGGGACAAGAGGCAGAAAAGGAGGCAGAATCATCGATGGGGAAGACAAGCCTGCAGGAGAAGATGGTGGGTGACCTCGCTGAGTCCCATACTCTGGGCCACACGCTAAAGGGACTTCACGTGAACTTTGCTTCACTCAACACTGATATCAGTCCCATGGCACAGAAATTGTTACCTGCGCTGCAGACGAGGAGAATAAGTGTAAATAAAGCCTTGAAAAAGGAGGACTGAAGCCAATTCAGTCTGATGCCCAAACTCGTACAAAATGAAATTAAGGAACTAGATGTAAAAAGGGTGGAGAAGTTCAGTGTATTTAAAGTTGGCTTTTGTGGAAACTGTGGTTTCCAGAATAAGTTCCTCTCTGCCAGTTGTAAGGACATCACCTCTTGGCCCACCTGGGTAATCCAGGATACTCTCCGTATTTCAAAGTCAACAAACTCTTAATTACATCTGCAAAGTCCCTTTTGTTCCATAACATATTCATGGGTGTGAAACCCAGGCTCAGAGTTCAAGGAGTGAAAATTCTGCCTACCACGGGGATCATGAGACACTAGACTGACACTAATTCCTAGACACCCACAATGTTACTCCCGTCCACTAACGAAAGTGGTGGCCTATGGCGGCCAGGTGATGGTTAAAGTCTTAGCTCACTTTTTACAAAGGTTTTATTTATTTGTTTTTAGATTGAGGGGAAGGGAAGGAGAAAGAGGGAGAGAAACATCTATCAGGTTACTTGCAGGCACCTTGACTGGGGACTGAACCTGCAGCCCTGGCATGTGCCCGGACCAGGAATCGAACTGGTGACCTTTTGCTTTGTGGTATAACGCCACGTTAACCCATTTACTGATAACCTGAAAAAGACGGTACCACTGTGGACTCAGGCCTTTTGGAAAAGGTTAAATCACTCCCACCCAGTAAAGAAGCCCAACCGGCTGAGGTCCTGGCTGAGGGTAAAGAAAACAACCAAATGGGGAGAGGGAGACGGGAGTCATAAATATTAACCACGGCCCTGTAACCGATTAGAAAAAAGGATTATAGAAACAATGCATGTTTTCTTCCTTATTTTTCTTCTCTTTCCTCCCAACCCCCGCCAGCAAGCCTGGGGGTGAGGGCTGGACTGCAGCCTCCCTGTAGGGAGGGGGTGTGTACTGCCCACCCCTGCAGGGTCAGCCTATTTAGCTTGGAAGTTAAGAAAGTTCCACCATTTCTATTAAAAACCTTCGGGTAAAGCTGGCTGTGCCAGGGAGACTAGACAGCAGACGCTTTGTTGTTAATTACAGACTTATCCTCAAAACCAGAACTCCGACTTAAAAAACATGCTTTCCCTCCTGATTATTCAAAGTTCATTGAACATCTACTTTCCCTACCGGGCTTGTTTTAGAGAGCACACGCTATATCTTACTTAACTTGGCGTAATTCTCTGCTAATGACTGCGTATTCTACCGCTTTATAAGAATACATGAGAATCCAACTGAAGGCCTAAAACCCCCAAGAAAAACAGGCAACACGTCCAGGCAGCGGAAGGCAGGCTAAGCTTGCATGTGCTGTGTGACTCAGTGCTTCGAGGTCTGTGCTGGCGTGTTGCAATGGGAGCATCCATGTCCAGGTGATGGAGGGCGGAAGGGTCACCCCCTTTGGGTCATATACAGTGACACAACTGTAGCCAATATCAGCTGTCATCAAGGGGCAAAACATTGCCCAGTTTTCGAAAGAAATCCAAATTGAGACTAATTTTCAGTGCAGGCTAACACACTGGCAAGATCTGTACCAGTCTCCACAATAACCTCACACCAGAAACAATGTCCTGGTGCAACTGTAAAGCCCCCCAGAGTCTGCCACCCAGCCCAAACCCAGAACCCCCTCCCCGTATGCTCAGCAAAGTGGACATTCTGCAAGGAAAGCAGTTTCATCGATGGTAGTCCAGACACCAGTCTTTCCTTCTTCCGATCTATATGAAAAAGGAGTCACCAGAAATTTAAAGAAATGCCGGTCAAGAAATAAAGACCAACTGATTTTACCTGCAGGCATTTTTATTAGGAGGCTTTTGTGAAGGGATGAAGCACTTCATCGAGCTTAAGAAAATTGAGTTGCCTTCCGTTGCGAAACCTCCCAACACTGACGTCACTACTGATGCGGGAGGTGGCGTCATGGGAGGATTTTCCGGAGGGCAGCCCAGAAATCCTCCCAGGTGACCCAGGTGCTCGGAGGTGGATGTTGGTAAGTCACACAGAGGTTCACAACAAACTGTGACTAACACACATAAAAGTGACTTTTTATCTCAGCCC